GAGAAGAAAAAGAAAGGTGACTGGGGATATATGCCAATGCGGCAACGAGGACTAGCGGTGGCGGCAATGATGTAGTTCGATAGCTGCAGGTGAAGGGGAGAAGCGCAAGGAGAAAGGTTGATCCAAGGAAGATCGGGAAGATGGGCAGAGGAGAAGGAAATACAAGACCATTTTATTAGGATATTTTAGTTTCTTAATTTATATTTAGTCTTTTTTTTGTTCCAAATTTGAACTAGGATTATAATTGTCCATTAAAAAGTCTATTTTTTTATTATTTAAGAAATTTAACAATATTTTAAATTTTTAATTTCTAACTTATGTTACGATTAAGGTTAAGCAAACGATAAATTGAAGAACTAGAACACAAGAATTTACGTGGTTCACACAATCGGGGTGATTGTGCTAGTCCACGGCGAACGAGAGAGAGCAGTATATTATTATGTCGGCGCGTCAGGGTTTACAAGTACAACAGAGATGTTTAAATAGGTCTCAAAAAACCCAAACAAAAATAGGAGCCGCAGGCCCGAAAAATAAAGCCCGAACTTAAAATTTTCCCGCATCCCCGGTCGGGTATTTCATCCAGAGTGTTTTCTCTCACGCTACCCGGTCTGGTAGCAAGGCGGGTGTTCTTCACTGACAACATACCCGGTCAGGTAAAAAACCTTACCCGGTCGGGTATCACTTCCAGAGAGTTACCAGGCTGAAATCTTCCTCATACCCGATCGAGTAACCTAACATACCCGGTCTGGTATCTGCTGTTGCATTGAAAACAAGACTCCATCTTCAACAATCTCCCGCTTGGAGGCTTGTTCAACAATCATCTGCCATCCAAGAACATGTATCCTCTGTAAAGAAAACCCTGATCTCTCTCTCGTTCACGTCTTCTCATCAAGTATCTGGAAGGCCAGTTGAAGCCATGCATAGCTTCAACTTCTCCGTTGTCACCGCCTTGGTAAGCATGTCTGCTGGATTCTTCGTACCAAGGATCTTCTTCATATTTATAGTACCATCTTCAATCAACTCTCGGATGAAATGATACTGCATCTTGATGTGTTTCGTTCTGCTGTGAAACACCGGATTCTTCGCGAGATGAATAGCACTCTGGTTGTCACAAAATAGACAACAATCTCCCTACTTCATGCCCAACTCCGAAAGGAAGTTCTTCAACCAAATCAACTCCTTGGCCGCTTCGGCAAGGGCCATATACTCTACTTCTGTGGTTGAAAGAGCCACACTCTTCTGTAGTCTGGACATCCAACTGATCGGTGTACCTCTAATAGTGAACACATACCCCGTAGTGCTTTTCCTGGAGTCATAACAGCCCCCCAAATCAGCATCTGCAAATCCTTCTAGGATTATACCATTCTCCCTGAAACGAAGGGTAGTTTCAGAAGTGCCTTTCAAATAACGTCACAGCCACTTGACTCCTTCCCAATGTTCCTTCCCTGGATTTGACATAAACCTGCTAACGACTCCCACTGCATGAGCAATGTCTGGCCTTGTTGACACCATAGCTTACATCAAACCGCCAACTCCTGATGCATAAGGACCTTTAGCCATTCTTCTTTGTCTTCATTGCTCTTCAGAGACTGCTGTTTGGAGAGTTTCAAATGACTCCCTAAAGGTGTACTTCTTGGTTTGACATCTGTCATTCTGAACTTCTCAAGGACCTTCTGAATGTACTTCTGTTGTGAAAGCTTTAAAGTACCTTCCACCCTATCTCTGACTATGCTCATCCTAAGAATTTGTCTCGCTTCCCCTAAATCCTTCATCTCAAACTCTTCGGACAACTTCTTCTTTAGCTTGTTGATCTCCTGCATGTTTGATTCGGCCACCAACATGTCATCAACATACAATAGAAGAATAATTCATGATGACTTGAATTTCTTCAAGTAACAGCAATGGTCCATGTTGCATCTAGTGTACCCATTCCGCTGCATAAAACTGTCAAACTTCAAGTACCACTTTCTAGGAGCTTGCTTCAGCCCGTATAGACTTTTCTTGAGTTTGCACACCAACTTCTCCTTACCACTCACTGGGGAACCCACTGGTTGAGCCATGTAAATTTCTTCTTCAAGGTTTCCATTAAGAAAAGCTGTCTTTACATCCAACTACTCCAAATGCAAATTTTTAGCAACAACGATACCAAGGATCAACCTGATAGTAGTCATCTTCACAACTGGAGAGAAGATTTCATTGTAATCAACCCCCTTCTTCTGTTGGAACCCCTTGACAACTAGCCTGACCTTGTATCTTTTGCTTCCATCTGCTTCATCTTTCATTCTGAACACCCATTTGTTCTCAAAAGCTTTCTTTCCCGGTGATAATTTGACTAAGGACCAACTTTGGTTCTTGTCAAGTGAATCTAACTCATCTTCCATGGCTTTCTTCCACTGCATGGAATCTTTCACTGTCAATGCCTCTGAGTAATATTAGGGCTCTCCATTCTCGGTCAGCAATAGGTAATATGCTGAAGGAGAATATCTATTAGGAGGTCTTCGATTTCTAGTAGACTGTCTGATATGTGGAGTTGTTGGCTCATGCTCAGCTGCCTCTGAACTCCCACTATATTCATCACTCTCACTACTTTCTGAAATTCTTGAATTTCCTGAGCTCCCACTGCTCCATGAGCCTCCAACCTCCCATCAAAATTGACCGGTTGTGTTATGTCATCTTCTGTTATCCCGTCAAACACCACTTGCTGTTTGTTTTCTGGTTGCTTACCTTTGCTTGTATCTGCTGCAAGACCATCTTTATACAGGACATTCTCGTTGAAGGTGACATCTCTACTTCTGATAACCTTCTTGTTGTGGTTGTTCCATAACCTGTAACCCATGTCATCCAACCCGTACCCAATAAAGATACATTTCTTCGCCTTTGCCCCGAGCTTGTCACTATCTGCATCTTTAACTTTGACATAAGAAATACAACCAAAAACTTTCAAGTGAGTAAGAGATACCTCTCAACCTTTCCATTCCTCTTCTGGAATTTTGAACCCTATGAGAGATGAGGGTCCTCTGTTGATCATATACGCTGATGTGTTCACCGCATCAGCCCAGAAACATCTTTGGAAGTCCTGCATGTAACCTCATGCTCCTTGCCCTCTCATTCAGTGTTCTGTTCATCCTCTCTGCAACACCATTTTGATGTGGTTTTTCTAGAACCGTCTTCAGCATCCTGATCCCCTGTTCAACACAATACTCTACAAACTTTGTGCTACTGTACTCACCCCTGTTATCACTCTTTAAACACTTAATCTTAAGATTTGTTTCATTCTCAATTGCATCTTTGAACTTCTTAAAAGTGTTAAAGACATCGGATTTATTCTTAAGAAAATAAACCCATACCTTCCGTGTAGAGTCATCAATGAATGTAACATAGTAGCGGGAACTTCCAATTGAAGAAACTTTTGTAGGTCCGTAAACGTCTGAATGAATCAGCTCCAGCCGCTCAATCTTGGGTGGTTGTCCTGTCTTCACAAAGGTTACCTTCTTTTGTTTGCCAAGAACACATGGCTCACAAAATCTAAACTTTGAATTCTTCAAATCTGGGATTTTGCCTTTTGAAGATAACATCTTCATTCTGTTCTCACTCATAAAGCTATCCCACTAAGATCAACATCTTCTTCAGGTCTGGAATATACCTCGCATCTTTCAGCTTCCAGGTTGTGCCCAAAGTGGTACTGAGGACAACTTTCCCAATACCCGTGATCTCCAGAGACTTGTCATCTGCCAAACGAACTCTTCCGCTGTAGGGTTTCAAATTTTGCATCAATTCCCTTCAATGACAGGCATGAAACGACGCACCTGAATTCATGATCCAGGTCTCAATTGAATTCTCAACGCTGCAAATTAGAACATCTTCATAGTCCTCTGCCACGTTCACCTCCTTCTTGCCTTTGTCCGCAGAGGCTTTTGGGCACTGATTTCTGAAGTGTCCATTCTCCTTGCAATTCCAACAATTGATGTCCTTCCTGTTCTTTGATTGACCTCTCTTCCTCGACTTTGATCTCCCTCCCCCGTTACCTCATTTGTTGGATTTTCTGCCCATGTCTTTAGTACTCAACAAACTGTTGGAGCTATGCCCCGTACTCTTCCTCCGGATATCCTCACCAAGGATCAAATCATGAATACCTTCAAAGGTAATCTTAGTGGTTCCAGCCAAACTACTAAATGTTGTGACTGTACTGGACCAACTATCGGGCAAAGATGATAACAAAAGTAATGCTTGAACTTCATCATCGAATTTAATCTCAACCGAACCTAACCTGGATATAATTGAATTAAACTCGTTGACATGATCTGTCACGGCTGCACCTTCTTTCATCCTTGTGTTCATCAACTGTCTGATTAAGAAAACCTTGTTGATCGCTGAGGGTTTCTCGTACATGTTGGATAACGCCTTGAGCAGTTCAAACATTGTCTTCTCGTTGACGATGTTGTAAGCAACGTTTTTCGCCAATGACAACCTCACCACACCAAGAGCTTGTCGATCCAGCAAGTTCCACTCCGCCTCCGCCATCGATTCTGGTTTGTTCTCAGACAAGGGTAGATGAAGCTTCTTCTGGTAGAGATAATCTTCAATTTACATCTTTCAGAAAGTGAAATCTTGACCATCAAATTTATCGATCTTAACCTTCGCTTCGTCAGCCATAGCTCTGATACCACTTGTTACGATTAAGGTTAAGCAAACGATAAATTGAAGAACTAGAACACAAGAATTTACGTGGTTCACACAATCGGGTTGATTGTGCTAGTCCACGGCGAACGAGAGAGAGCAGTATATTATTATGTCGGTGCATCAGGGTTTACAAGTACAACAAAGATGTTTAAATAGGTCTCAAAAAACCTAAATGAAAATAGGAGCTGCAGGCCCGAAAAATAAAGCTCGTACTTACAATTTTCCCGCATACCCGGTTAGGTAAACCCATGTACCCGGTCGGATATTTCATCTAGAGTGTTTTCTCTCACGCTACCCAGTTTGGTAGCCAGGCGGGTGTTCTTCACTGAAAAAATACTCGGTCGGGTAAAACACCTTACTCGGTCGGGTATCACTTCCAGAGAGTTACCAGGCCGAAATCTTCCTCATACCCGGTCGGGTAACCTAACATACCCGGTCGGGTATCTGCTGTTGCATTCAAAACAATGCTCCATCTTCAATAACTTATTAATAAATAAAATGTAGTCAAAATAGAGTGTATAAATAATATAAATTTCAATATGTTGCATCTATTTAAGATGGAGGTACTCTACAGTAGACATGCACAAAAATTGGATGAGTGTCGAGTCTAGTCGAGCTATGATATATTCCTTTCGTCCTGTTGAGATGGTCCTGCGTTTCCTTTTTGGTCTGTCCCAATAAGAGTGTATCATACCATGTAAAGTTTGTCTGGTTCTAAATCATTTTTACTTTATGCTTACTTTATCAATTCAATATCAACCATATAAAGCCATTTTTAATAATCGTATCATCTCCCCATGTCTCAATGTTAGAGCGACGGATGTAAGCATGTTTTCTTTTGGAGTGTTTTCGCTCCCAGACCAACCAGACCAGACCAGGCCAGATAAGATCAGAACAGACCATAACAGACTTCCGTAGTTATAAATACACAAAGATCTAGACCAGACATTTATCAGACCAGACCAGTTCAGACCAGACCAGATCAGACTTGACCAGATCAGCAAATTCGAGTCGAAAAGAAAACATCCATACTACGTGTATGATATATATCAATGTGTGTGTGTATATATATGTATTGATGGATGTGATCTCCAAGCTAATAAAGTACGTAATTAAGAAGATAGAGATGGACTGCAGTGAGTTGATTCCTGTTCTGGTTATGGTGATCGTGCAATTAGGATATGCCGGAGTGAATATCATTGGGACGGCCGTTATGGGCGCCGGCATGAATCCCTTTATCCACATAGCTTACCAGCAAATTTTCGGCAGCCTTGTCATCACTCCCTTGGCTTTTTTCATGGAGAGGTCGGTACCTATATCTATACATATACTCCGTATCATCACTCCATTAGTATGATCTTTCAAGAGTAAAAACGTTTTCGAAATTGAAACTAAGAGCACTATATATATGAATTTTTACTCTTTAAATTAATTATTGTTTGAAAAATATATCCGCATCAATTATGACAATGTGCTCCTATATTTTAAGTCTAAAATATGACCATAAAATTTCAAGATACTGTATGTTAAACTGCTCTTATATATTCAGAGGGAAAACAATACACTCCCTTTTAGAGTTATATACTCCGTACATTGTTCTCATTAAGTACTCATATTTTAGGAATTTTTCATAGTTAATCATTTCAAAATATATTAACAAATTTAGGGGTTTTTTCAAAAATATTACTAAAATAAATTTATTTACACAAATATGACTAATAATTACTATGTAGTTTCATGATAACTTAAGTTTAAAAATTGAACATAAGTTACATATCAACAGCGATATGTTTATATTCATAAGAATTACTATGGCTTTCGCTTTTTTATTCTATGATTCTTCTTTAATTTAATACTTACACCGTGTAGTATATTTTATAATTGATTAATGTTTTATTTTTCAGATTTGAAAGAACTTTTTAGATGTTTTCATTGCTCTCTCAAAACTGATTTTCCTGGTTTCAGATATTTCTGGATTTCTTAAACGTATTGTTGTGGTATAGAGTTAGCACATGAGGTGGTTCTGGTAATAAATAAATAAAGGATACATTTTCTTTAGTTTTTAGTATTGTGACACTAAATCAAGCTATTTTTTCTGAATCAAAATGTTCTTTGTTGGACAAAAATTATTTTCTCGAACAATATATATACTACGTAGTAAGGAGTATATATACGTTATGATTGATTAGATTTTAAATTGAAAAAATTGTCGCAATCGATATAGATAATATATAATATCTGCATGAAGTTTGGAATTGAGGTACATGTCTTAAATTCTTAATCTTGCATCTTCACTTATGACTATTTTTAGAATATAATATATAATAGGGTAAAAAGAAAGAGAAGAGAATAAGTTAGCATATCCCATCTTATATGCAGGTACTGATCGTATTATTTTTGGGTGTATTTCATATTTTCATTGCAGGAATACAAGGCCCAAAATGACTTTGAGGATATTTTTCCAAATATTTATGTCGTCACTCTTTGGGTACGTATTTCATGATTTACATTCTTGCCTTGTGTATTCCACATTTCAACATCTCATGAAATAAGTAGAGGAATTGACATCGCACTAGGCCACTATATAGCTTAGAGTAATTAAACTCCAGATTATATATTGAAATTAATAAAACAATTTGACACATCACTGGTGCAAAATTATCTTTTTGCGGCGCTTAAATCAACCAACGTGCGGCGCTTTCAGGCGCCGCACATCCCGGTGCCGCAATTTAACGCGTGCGGCGCTTATTTTAAAAAAGCGCCGCAAATATTTTATTTTTAATAAAATTATATTTAATATGTGTGCGGCGCTTTTTTGCATATAGGCGCCGCAAAATATTTTTTTAAATTAATAATTTAATACGTAACCGTGCGGCGCTTTTCTGTAAATAAGCGCCGCAAATATTTTTTTAAATTAATAATTTAATACGTAACCGTGCGGCGCTTTTCTGTAAATAAGCGTCGCAAATATTTTTAAATAAATTAAATTATTTTTTTTTAACTTTCGCGGCGCCTTACACAAATAAGCGCCGCAAGTTTCCAACATTATTTTAAAATATTCAATCATATTTAGGATCTTTCAAAAACGTCCTGTAACAGAATTAACAAAATACAAAAAGTGTAAACTGTTTAAAGTCATCACAATATCAACAACATGAACTTCACAAATTACAAAATCAGCAAAGTGTAAGCAATTCAAGTAACCAACAGATTACAAAAATCTTCATAAAAATGATTTCAAAAAACACTTAACACAATACATAACCAATGTAATCAACTTTTACATATTTAAGAGTACATCCAAGAAAAATCGTGCCCATATATTGCGAATGTTATTAAACTCATCTTCAGAATATGCCTCAGTTCTTGAATACCAATCCTACAAATATTTAGATAAAATAAAACATAAATAAAAAATATTACAACTTTTAAATTAGAAAAAATTAAACGAAGTTAAAAAATAAGAATAAATAATGATATACCTTTCCAATATCAAAGCTATCAACATACGAAATCACTTCCCATATGTATCGCATGGTATAATATCTGCATTCTGTGTTTCCGTTTTGTCTGGCACACTTTTTTATTGTGGCGAAACATACACATAAAGTGAAGGTTTATTCACTACTGCATGGAAATAATAATAATAATAATAATAATAATAATAATAATAATAATAATGATGATGATGATAATGATAATAATAATAATAATGATAATAATAATGATAATGATAATAATAATGATAATAATAATAATGATAATAATAATGATCATAATGATGATGATGATGATAGTAGTAGTAATAGTAATAACCACACGTCGAGCCCTTTCTTTCATAATACGTGAAATGCTAGCTTCTTAATATACATTAGACCTTTTAATTACCAATTAATTACAAACACATCATATCCTTCCTCGACATGAATTGCGTGGAACACGTAGGAATTCAATAGACCCCAAAATGAGTCCTTCCTTTATTCACCCTACATATTTATAATTAAAATAAAGATTGTTTACGAAAACGTTACTAGTGATTAAAATAGTAATAAAATTATAGTAACTAATATTCAAATTTAAAACATAAATTACTATCAAACTACATTCTAGCTAGTAACTACTTGTATTAATTATACTTATGTACATAAGTTTAATTTTAGTAATATTTTGACCAAATCCCACAATGTAATGGTGTGATCAAACAAAGCAATTGTTTTACTCTATTCGATCCAGTTTTAGGTTGTCACTCTCCGTTTTAGGTTCTTATAATTAAATGACACATTAATATGATGGTTTTCATCGATAATTTCACTATGTTATATATTCATCAAAATTATTTCTCACGTAAATTACTTTATTTAATTATTATCTGAATTTTATACGGGGACATGCAAGTATATTATTATGGTCCCGAAAAGCGACCCCCAAACATCCGCTCCGCTCCTCCATTATTAAATAATTTAAAAGGGCGGATGGGATGGGATATGAAATGAATGAAATGGTGCAGGCTGACGGGGGATCAAACGGCATACTTTGTGGGGCTAAAGCATTCCACTCCAACCATTGCAACGGCTTTGGCAAACTTAATTCCAGCCGTCACTTTTATCATGGCCGTCCTCTTCAGGTAACTTAACTTCTTTTCAACCGCCCCCGTTTTATAATCCAGAGTACATACACACTTGATCACATTATTAATTTTGTATAACACTTAATTTAAGTTATACATGTACAATTTGTCCAAGAATATAGACTAAATTTAAGTTATACATATACAATTTGTCCAAAAATATAGACTTAATTTAAGTTATACATATACAAGTGTGTGTGTGTGTGTGTATATATATATATATATATATATATATATATATATATATATATATATATATATATATATATATATATATATATATATATATATATATATATATATAGAGGGTGCGGTTCGAGTGAGAACGATGTTTAACGTGAGAATGTGAGAACACTCACATTTAAATCAACGTGGTGCACAATGGAGCTATTCCGTTGCACATTTTCAATTTGCTCGAATTAAGCCTATTTAAATAAACATGGTGTCATTTTGGTAAATATTGTGAAAATGTGAAAATGTGCAATATACAAGCTTCGTTGTGCAACACGTTGGGGTAAATGTAGTGTTCTCACGTTCTCACGTTAAGCATTGTTCTCATTTGATCTTTATATATATATGTGTGTGTGTGTGTGTGTGTGTGTGTGTGTTTTGGTTCAAATAAGAACATGATCTTAGGAGAGAAATGAGAACGAATCTGGACCGTTAGATTTGCTTTAAGTGAAATTCAATGTGCATTAGAAGAAATTGTAATATGCATTAGGTGAAATTGAAATGTGCAACACAAAGCGTATGATACTAATTATTATATATGTATATAATTTATAAATCATATACTTTAATGAAAATATTTTGAATAAGGAACATTTTGATATAATTTTCATGTTCTAAATAATTTCGTATTGAAAAATATCATTGATCAAAGTTGATTGTCATTCATCAAGAAAAGTAAATTTGGCGAACCTTTTCGGGACAGATGGAGTATCATTACTTTGATAAAATATTTTGAGCAAAAACACAAATTTATCTAGAATATTTAAGAAAACATTACGGATCAAGAGTACTAGAAAGTACTACTCTTCTATGCTCCACATTCTCAAATGGTTGTAAAATTGCATTATATATCTAAACAGTCAAATTAGATCTTGTCTTTCTCTATGACAATATACTTGGATGTCCCAAAATTAACTTCTTACTTTATTTTATTTCCAATTTCGGTAAACTTTTTAATGTGAAAGTCCCATTTGCCCAAAATTTTTAATGAATCATAAATAATGACTTCTTCTATAAAGTGCCATCAGCATCACCACACATTGTTTTAAGTGGAAACCTCCACTAACAAATACTCCCTTCGTTCTTTTTTAGTTGCAACGGTCAACATTTCACATTTGCCAACACACGTTTTTGACCGTAAATTATATCTTAATTCTATTAGTAAAAAAATATTAAAAATCAGATTTTGAAAATTTGTAATGAGATGAATTGAACAATATTTTTTTAAAAAATAATTTTAATAAAATAATAGCGTAAAATGTAGTCAAAGTAGAAATGTGAATAGTGTAAAATTCAACATGATGCGATTAAAACGGAACATATGATAGTATATGGTGATGAGGATGCCACATAGAACATAAAGGAGCCATATATGACTCCTTAATAGTGCTTCCTATTTGCTCTCTACTTTACCCCATTTACTTTATTTTGGACTACTACCATTTCCATTTACTTTAAAAAGGGTAATTTTGGGAAAATAACTTATATCTCTTTCGTGCCTAAAAACTGGTCTAAGTCAAAATGGGAAGTTAATTTTGTGAGGTACCAGGTAGTATTTATATATGGGTGCATGTGTGTGTACATAGTTTTATTGTTGTACATATGAAAAACAATTAAGTAAATATGTTGTGTGGTGTAATGAATTAAGATTTGCAATTTTAGTCCTGTAAGTTTCGGCTGTTATCGTTTTTGGTTCTGTAACTTTAAGCGCTAGCAAATTTGGTCATGTAAATAATAAATCTTTGTAATTTAAGGACTTTTTCACCGGAAAGTACACTTTCTGGCGGAAAAGTTCAACGTCGGCGACAACTTTTCCGGTATGCTACATGCATACCTAGCTAGCTAGCTAGCTATATGAAATAATTTGGCGTTGTTGGCGGCAGACTTGAAAGGGTGGGATTAAGAACAAAGGCGGGAAAAGCGAAGATTTTGGGGACCCTAATATGCATCGGTGGGGCGATGCTGCTAAGCTTGTACAGGGGAGGCGTTGTGATTGGGCAGTCGAGCATTAACTGGAAATATGCAAAAAATACAGTGGACAAGAATAGTAGCTGTAACACTAGCAGCAGCCATGGAGATTTGTTGTTGGGGCCTTTCATGGTCTTGCTCAGCGTTCTTTTCTACGCTGCCTTCCTAATCACCCAAGTAACCTAGCTAATACATACCCAGACTAATATAATTAATTACTTTTCAGTACGTACAGTCTAATTCGATCTGGATCGATAATTTGAAAATTTGGTTGAATATATATATAACAGACAAGACTGGGAAAGGAGTATGGAGCACCATACTCTAGCACTGCTATAGCCTGTGTGCTTGCAAGTATCGAGTGTGTGACAATTGCAGTTTCCACCGATCACAACATCTCTGACTGGGCTTTGACTCCCATGAGGGCTGTCTCCACCGTTTACAATGTACGCACGTAATTAACTAATTAACATCTACAAGTTCTTCGTATGCAATTTTAAGTATGCAATTTGATATGTATGTATAATGAAGGGGGTGGTGTATTCAGCACTAGCAATCCTGCTGACTTCATGGTGTGTAGAGAGGAAAGGGCCTCTGTATGTTGCGGTTTTCAACCCTTTGTTGCTCGTCTTTACTGCCATTCTCAGCTGGGCTTTTCTTCGCGAAACCATACACACCGGCACGTAAGTCCATCACCACATTCATTCATTCATTACCGAGGCTGAGGCCACGAATATGAGAAATTATACTTTAATCCAGTGACGGAACCGAGACACTGAATCAGATTGAGCTGATACAAAGAATATTTTTACAAGATTAAAAATATTACACGGAACTTTTTACACTAAAAGAAGATATTTTTAAAATCAGGAATGACCCCTAACTGAATCAGAATAGATTCGATGGTTGATAGACATCCACAGCACTAGGCCTTCCGGGTCAAATAAACCGGACCTAAAAAGTAGAGTCCAATCAAAAACATGTATGTATATCATCCGCTGGCTAAACCAATTATTGCACCTGGTTTTATTTCTTATTTTAGTTTTAATTTGGAGAGGGAAAAAGACTCAATTATTGTGTTTTCTTTTTTTTATATGATTATTATGATCCAGAGTGTTGGGGTCAATCCTAATTATAGCGGGGCTCTACGTTGTTCTGTTGGGAAAGAAGAAAGAGGTGGACGTGATTAAAGTAGAAGAAGACAAATTGAAGGAAGCACACAAAAGTGAAGGCGGCCAAGAGTGCTAATTAATTGATTATTAATAATTGTGCTGCGAACTTTAATTTATGACCGAAAGCCATGCATATTATAATTATTATTATATATAGTGCAGCTAGGCACATTATTACCAAAACTCCAAAAGCCATGCATATTATCATACGATGATGATCTGAAGCCGCCGGAAGTAAAAGCAAATACGGATGCGCGGATTGTACAAGTATATTATTATAATTATTAAATTATTATTATCCTGATGATGATGAATGATGGTGATTACCACTGTTAATATTATTATTGTTATTAATATATACCTTCGTTTTTAATAGCTCTAACGAACACTTCAATTTTTTTGAACAAAAAAGGAGCGTCATCATAAACTCGAACAACATCAAAAGCACAAACACTCTCATTTCGAATGCTACAAGTACAATAGAATTGTACGTAGTACTCCCTCCGGTTCTTATTAAAGTTCTCAGTTTGACTTCACACATATTAAGAAAATGTATTTGACTTTACTGTGGAGTGCACTGTTTGGCACTGTTTGGACACTGTTTGGCACTGTTTTGTATTGTTTTGTTTCCTAAAATAGAAGTGTGAACTTAAATAAGGGACATCCCAAAAAGGAAAGTGAGAACATTAATAAGAACCGGAGGGAGTATATGCTACAATTACAAAAATTCGTTATCACTCATCGAGCAGACCGTAGATTGGTAAGAACCTATCGCAATGACCAATGATCTCGCAAGCAAAACAAAAATTGGGAAGTTTTTTATATCTCAGCTATACCCATACACAATCCCCATTCGATTTTTTCTTTCAAATTTTCCCTAAGCGGTTTCCATATATCAAGACAAACCTGGATCCTCTTGTAGGCCCTCCAGGCCGGGAGCCTATATGGTACATCCTGGTGTACGTACACCCAGCCCAACTAAGGGAGACAGTCCAGTAACTGATTCAGGCCAAAAAAAATTCAGTGGCATTTTTGTAATTTAAGCGAAAACGGATGGCTTTCGCTAAATGAGCAATAATGTATTTTTAATGAACATCTGACCTATTTTATTGAGCATCTGCGAATTTAATGTAGTATAATAATTTTAAAAAGTGTATAATTGATATGGCATTTTAAAATGAGCATACCATTACTACCAAATGAGCATACATAACTTACAAAATGAGTATCAAAAAATTTAAAAGAGCATTTTTGTGTGCTCATTCATTTTGGACGTTATACTCTGTTGAGGGTAAGTCCCGTAGATCCGAAAGCCCAACACGAACTTTGGATATATCAGGAATGACCCAGAATCAAGGTGTACGAGAAAATATAAGATCTGAACTAACTAAAACTCGAAAGCTCACTTGTATTAATTAACCAATCTGATTACAAGGGATTTCCCGATCGATAAGTCGGAAACTATGCCTTAATACAAGAAATAAGAGCAAATGATGCTATTCTAGAGCTTGAGTATTGAAATGCTAACCCTTACAATGACATGAAACCTTCTATTTATACTAATGGAGAGCATGGGCTGCCTCTTGCTGATTGGCCGTTGTTCCACCGACTTGGTCATCCATGCTTCCACTTGCTGATGTCATAGTCTGGCATTAACTGCACCTGGCCACTTGCTGGTTGGCCATTGCTCGAACGGGATGTTGGTCCGTACTGAAGATGCTGTCAAATTGGCCCAAGTATGATATATAGCCCGAACCTCGTTCGGTATGTCTTCTTATTGGGCCAACCTTTATTTGGGCCGAACCCCGTTCGGTATGTCTCCTTACTGGATCTTTTCATCATGGAGTGATGGGCCTGTTACTTGGGCCGGATACCTTGGGCCTTCCCGATCTGGGTATTGGGCCTCTAGGTCAATATCCCAACACAAGTCCCCCACTTCCGATGTCTCGAACGAAGTGAGTGCATCAGGAAGTATACCAATGTCATAATACCCCGAATGGCGATCGGGGTACAGAAGTAATCAGTTCCCCATGCTGCGATTTGACGGCTGCCGCTTCATTTCCCCATATTCATCATGATAACCGTCGTTTAGTCTTTTCATTAGACGCGTGTCTAGCTTAAATGCCCCTAGTGATGTGTCGTTCTCTGATTGGTTCTCGACACGGCGGTTTCAAGGCTATAAATTAGCTCTTAATTCTTCAATTCCGGGTTTCGACTCTGCAATTCCTTGGCCTTATCCCTGACCCGGTGGATTTCCGTTTGCAAGCCGGGCTTCATCCAATGCGTCATAGGCCCGGAATGACCATAGTCCACTTTGACTCAATTAGGGCCGGCCTTAGATTTCCGTTACACCCTTTCTTTATTTCTTTCTTCAATTTCTACGAAATTGTACCGGCCCAGATTATGCCGAACTCTTATCGAGCAATGGCGGGTTTCATTTGTCGTTGCAAAGATGCCGGCGCCCGACCAACCCTAGAACTCTTCCACCAGTTTTTCAAAGTAGCCCCCCAACAGACCCATGGCTATTTGGCCACTAGTGCCCGAACGGGACACATCCTGTTCAAAGGAAACCCAACTTCGATCAAAGGGTGGAAAGACCGGTTTTTCTTCGTGTCCATCCCGGACGGTCTGATTCCCCGCAAGTGGAATGCTTTTCCCCGCAAAACCCCTGATCCTGTCCTGACTGAAGAAATCTACAAGGACGTGCTCGCTGTGGAGAAGGATAAATGCATGGACATCATGAATTATCTGACCCCCGAACGACTTATAACAGCCGGGATAGGTACTGCCCGTTCTCTTAGGTTTACTTGTTTTGATAAACCAAGTGCCTTGGTCCGGGCGGTCCTTCCCGTGCGAGAAACGTTCCTTTATTCTTTTTTCTAGTTTCTCACACGCTGGGGCCGCTCGATACTAACATTGTTCTTTGCCTTTTTTCAGCACCCAACCCAGATCTTCCCATGGATGATAGCAGAGTCATCGCAGCCGGTGGGGGCGGAAAGCGGAAAAAATCCCGGAAGAACCCCCAACCTACTCCCACCATTGTTCCCGCTCAGGAGGCTGCCCCTTCTCAACCGCTCCCAGAACCTCAGCCAATTCAGCAGGTCCACCAGGATCAACTAGAGGCCATGCTGCTTGATGATCGGTTCGGTTCTGACCAACTGCACCAATTTTCTCAGCATTTCGACTCCGTTCGGGGGGAATCCTCGAATGCCGGTGAGACCCATACCGACCACATTACGGGTCAGGTCGAGCGGATCTCCCTATCCGACCCTGTTCATGAGGTTTTAGAGAGGGCTGGATCTACAGCGAGCCAGATCTGGTCTACCTCCTCCTGGTTTAACAACTTTTTCCTCCCCCAGTTGCCGGTCGAGCAATCTGAGGAATGTTTGGCTCTGACTGCTCTGAAGGTACGTTGTCTTTTGCGCTTTGTCTTAATTTTATTCTCTGTAACCAGTACTAATTCTCGAACGGCATTCTGTAGATGGGCTTGTACACCCTTCAGATGCGGGAGGCCCGCCTGGTCAAGGAGCGGGAACTGATTGTTGCCCAGTCTTCTGCTGAGCAACATGCTGCTGCTGCCATTGCCTCTCTGGAGGCCGAACGGAAAACCTTTGCTGAGGAAAAGCAGAGGCTGGATGCTGAAGTCGGTACCCTTCGGGTCCAACTCGCAGCTTCCAAGGTGAAGATCCTTGCCGCTGAGGCCGCACGGGTCAGATTCGAAGAACTGCCATCCAGTATCCCGGACGGTCCTTATGAAGTGAACGTGGATCTGTCCGCCGTCCGGGACATGTTTAAATCCTCCGATGAATTCTCCATCATCAAGGATGAACATGCAAGGGCCCAAATCCCGTTCGCCTTTGGGGCGTATTTGAAGGATTTCCCCAAAGGCGCCGGTCGGCTATCGGCTGGGGTGGCCCTCTTGGATAAGGACCCGGAGGCCAAGAAATGGAACGACTCCATTGTCTCCGATCTTTATGGCAAAATTGGCCAGGTCTTGCTGCGTCCCTTCATCACTCAGCTTCAAAATCAACTGGGGAGACCGGTTCAGGCCTCTGATCTCCCCACAGATGACATCATCCAGGCGCAGTTTGAGAAATATCTGCGAGCCCAGCAACGGGAAGCTGATCGAGCTGCGGGAAAAGAGCCTGAACCCCCATGTGATGATGATGAGGATGAGGATGAAGAGGGAGATGACATGGCCCCCAGTCAATAATTCATATGTACTTTTTCATTACTTGTTGTAATTTTCTTTTTCTCTAAATAGCTTGTACTTCCCGGTCAGTAGAACCGACGAATATATATCCCTCTTTTGTCTGAAACTTTCTGTGCTGTCTTTTCTGTTTTTAATGCATGATGTACTCGTCATTCGGGATTCGGCCTGTTCTGTAGGACTTAGCAATTTCCTAACTTATTCCTTGCTCAAATATTCTTAATGTCGTTGATCGCCGTTCGGGCATTAGGCAGTTCTGATAATTTAAAGGAAAAAAACGCTTCCCCCCGGCACTCAGCCGTTCGGGCTTCATACCAAATTTTAGGACTTAGCAGTTTTCTCGGTTTTCTTTGCGCCTGGACTCTTTCATAATATTGATAGCCGGTCGGGCTTCAGGTTGGCATTTAGGCCTTAGCATTTTTCTTCCACATAACCTTTTACAATACTGTCGGCCGGTCGGGCTTCAGGTTGACACTTAGGCCTTAGCATTTTTCTTTCAGATGACCTTTTACAATACTGTTGGCCGGTCGGGCTTCAGGTTGATATTTAGGACTTAGCATTTTTCTAAACAGCAAGCCCCTGTGACTTTTGCTAATCCTCTGTAAGCCCGTCCGGGGTACGTGCACAAAAAATGAAACATAAATGCCCCAATTTAATCGTAACCACCAAATGCCACGTGTTGCTCATGGATTAGGGAGTTGTGCGGTACTTTCCCTATTTATAGAGAGGTGCTTCCCCTAATTTCTCCTGTTGTTTTCTCATTTTTCTTTCGAGCTTTCTCTCTCTAGAATTCCTTTGCATACTCTCAAGCCTTCTCTCTCTAGAATTCCCAAATTTCCTCCAGCGTTTTTATGTACTACTCCTCTAGCTCAGAATCTGAAGAGATGCCTTTGATCCGCAAAAGCAAAACATCCGCTGGTAACCAGGCCGAAGGCTCTTCGTCCCAAACACCCAAACCCGCCAATACCCAGGTCAGCAAACATACCGAACAGCCGCAGGAGGATGGATGTCTGTCGGGAGATGACCTCCAGGTTTACAACAAGGGGATGCCCGAGCGGCCACCCCGCATTCCCCTACATTTCAATCGCATACGCAAACACAAACAACGTCTCCCAGAAGATGTTGAACGGCAGCTTAGCCAGTTGTTGCCCCCACCAAGAGAATACTAT